CTAGGAAGGGTGCGGGCCCGGCCGGTGGGTGGGACTGGGGTGTGTGGAAGGGCGAGACCACTAAGAGTGGGACTCTGGGCAGGTACACGGCGTGGGTTGCGGTGTGGGGCGGAGGCGTCGCCTTGGAATGGCAGGGACGGCGCCGGTGTGCGGAAAAGTGACTGCAGCTAAACGCTGGGCGGAGCTTTGGGTTGACACCTGCTCTGGGTGCGGCAGGAAAGTCCACCACAGAACTTCCAGTTCTTGTCCAGGAGGCAAATTCTGCCCCCACCTGGTGATTGCGAGGGGACGTGGCCCATGGATTCTGGCCCTCAGCCCGCCCACTTAATCTCGCCCAGGTACCCTATGTAGGCGCCAGTGCACGGCAGGTTGAGCATGTGTTGTCGTTGCTGCGTGGTCGCCCGGGAAAAATGGTGGATCTGGGCTCTGGAGACGGCAGAATTGTAAGGCGCGAGTGTGTCCCTGTGTGTCTTCCTTGCCCTTGGTGTGGTCGTCCCTCCCCAACATTCGGGTCCTGAACTGCTGGTGCCGGCAGGTGTTGGCGGCCCACAGGTGCGGTCTCCGCCCGGCTGTGGGCTACGAACTGAACCCATGGCTTGTGGGGCTTGCGAGGTTGCATGCCTGGAGGGCAGGTTGTGCTGGCAGCGTCTGCTACCTTCGTGAGGATCTCTGGAAGGTAACTTAGGGGACCTAGACTCCTGAGATCCACAGCTGATTATGCTTCAGATTCTGCCTTGGTCAGCCTTCTGGCAGCCCCAGGTTTCTCTGACTCCTGGGTGGGCCAGAGGTCAGGTCTGAAACCGCAGGGACCCAGGCCGCCAGCCCCCTCCCCCTGCCGGTGATTCTCCTTCTCACAGGTGAGCCTGAGGGACTGCCGAAACGTGTCCGTGTTCCTGGCCCCCAGCGTGGTAGGTCTGAGGTCTGCAGCTTCACTGGGAGTTGGGGCCATACACTGGCATGTGCTGCATTGAGGCCTGGGGATGGGTGCTGGACAAGGGCAGGTTGGGTCCTGCTGCCCTTGCCGCCTCCTCACCACTTCTCTCTCCCACAGCTCCCCTTGCTGGAAGAGAAACTGCTGGCGGAGCTGCCTGCTGGGGCTCGTGTGGTATCTGGACGCTTCCCCCTACCCACCTGGCAGCCTGTGGCTGTGATAGGTGAAGGCCTAGATCGGGTCTGGGCCTACGATGTTGACATGGACGTCCACCATGCCAGACCTGCTGCCACATCCTGCCCCATCCTGCCCACCCCAGGACCTGGTTCTGCCTTGGTCCGCAGCTTCCCCAATTCTCAGGCTGGCTGACTGGACACAATAAAGGCTCATAGATCACAGGCTTATTTTGTGGATAGTGGGGTTGTGGGGTGCAGGGATGACTGGGGTGTGGGGGAGCCTCCATTGCTGGCTACGAAGGGGTCTGCTCTGTGCTCCTCAGAAGGCCGGCTGTGTCCTTGGATGTTAGGGATTGGCTGGAGGTGTGGTTCCCGCTTTCCAGGGGTCCCCTGCGCCCACCAGCTTCCTCAGCCTCAGGATTTCCTGCTTATACCTGCTCAGAGGAATCAGGTTAAAATCATCTACCTGACTATGGACTATCTTCCCCCACCCAGACTAAGGTCCTCTCCCATTCAGCTCACCTTCCCAGGTGCTGGTCCACATACTCCTGTAGCTCTGAAAGCTGCTCTTCAGCCTTGGTGGCCCGCACCAGCAGCTGTGCTCGCTCACATTCCAGCTCTGCCTGGGAGGAGCATGATCCTTAAGCCAGGGCAGAGTGTGCAGAGGGGGCCCTTTCCAGCCCTACCTACTACCTGAGTGCCTCGGGCGAAGTCCTGGAGCTTCTGGCAGATCTGGGCCCAGGAATTGGTATCCAGGCTCCTGTGAGAGGGGAGAAGAGGCAGTCTTGAGGGCTGACCTGGAACTTACTGGAGTGATTTGGGACACCGTACCCTGCCCAGGCCTTGGAGCTCCTGTGCATGAGGGGCCCAATGGCCACTCAGGGAATGCTAAGCCATGGGCAAGCTCAGATGGTGACCCCAGTCTACTGCGATGTTAACTCATTGGGTGTTTTGTTCTCCAAACCCTGGGAAGTACTACCTCAAGAGCCCTGCCCACTGTATAGCTGGGGAGGTAGAGGCCTGGAGGCAAGGGCTGGCCAGGTCACCAGGCAACCTGCTCCCAGCCTGTCTTTATCCTGGGTCCTCCAGGTATCAGCTGAAATGGTCCTCCCTCAGATGGGCTCTCCCTGATCTTCTCCATTCAAGATTGGCCTCTCTCCTGGCAGGGCCCTCTTCACACATCGGCACTTGGCCCAGCAGCCACCTTACTTCCCTTGTACAAACTGGAAGACCCTGGGCCAGAGACCAGCCATTTTGTTCACTTTAGACTGACAGAAAGCTCTGTTTCAGTGTTGTATGATCTGCCCTCTCCCCACTCACCCACAGGAGGGCACTCACAGTGGCTCTGAGGTCTCCTGGGAGGAGGCTTCACCAGGTCCCTTTCGTGGGCACAAGGGCAGCATCCTGAACTGGCTGTGCTATAAAAGATCCTTTGGTTGGCTGAAGGAGGGAGGCCATTGAGGCCCTGGGGCTGGGGCTTTGTTGAGCCTGGGATGAGGCTGGGGTCAGTTCTGGAGCTCTGTGCCCCTAGACAGTGTGAGCTAGCAGGGAGAGGAGCTCACCTCATCCTTCTCCTGCAGGTGGCTGAGCTCAGTGGCCAGGGGCACAGACAGTGGCTTCAGGTCTGTGGCTGTAGTAAAGGTAGCCTTGAGGGTCCCAGTTGTCCTGTCTGGGTCTGCTAGTGCCTGAGGCTGCTCCTGCTGCACACTGAGCCATACGTGGGGTCATGTAGGGCCGTACCACCCCAAGTGCCCAGATGAGAGTGGGACCCACCTGTGTGTGGCCAGCAGCTCCTCATGCCTACGGCTCAGATCTGCCAGGTGCTTTCGGTAGGCCCTAGCAGCCCGGGCCAGCTGTTGCTCACGACTGTGATGTGCTGCCTGGATGTCCTGTAGAGTGGCCTCCAGGAAAGTCTGAAGAGCCGCCTGGCTTGCACCATCTGCATATCCCTGGAGAAGGTGAGTTGATGCTGGGGCAGCACTAGGGGGAGCTAGGTTTGGGGGCTGGGCTGGAGCTGGCAGGGTGACCTGGTTGGGCCCAATCCCATCCCTAGGGTCTCCCTGAAGCTGTCCAGCATGCCCAGACCAGATGTGGGCTCCCTGGGACTCACAGGCCTCCCCTCTCCACCACAGGGCCCCTGGCCTGGTGCTCACCACTGCCTCTCGGGCGCAGCGCTGCAGCCGGAGGGCATACTCCTCATTCAGCTTCTTCAGTTGCAGCTGCAACCGGGCGTTCTCAACCTGGGCCTGTCGGAGCTGGCCCTGGCAGGTGGACAGCATCTGGGGGTGAGGGAGGGACCTTGCTGTACTTGGAGGATACCTACTGCTGGATCTCGAAGCACACAGGGTGTGGGGGGTGATGCTTACCACTGCTTGTGCAGCTAGCCGCTGTCCAGCTGCCCTGGCTTCCTCTTGTGCTCCCTGCAGCTGCTGGCCCAGGGCTGCCCTGCTAATGATGTGAAGCTCAGCCAGGCCAGGGTGAGGGGTTCCTCAGCCCCTTGGGAATGGCTGCTGTGAGTACTGTGCCCTGACAGGCCCTCCCAGACCCAGGAGAGGTGGCCACTCACACCCGTGTCTCCAGTGTCTGCTGAAGGGCCCTGTGATGTTCCAGCACCCACTTCACTTCACCCCGAAGCTCCTGGGTTCCCAGCAGCTGCAGGGCACACAAGAGCTGGCTGCCTGAGACCCCAAGCTCTGGGTCCCATTCCCACCCTGGGCTGGGAGAACCCCAGAGGATTCCCAGGTTAGGCTACAGAGTGCTCACACTATTCTCCAGTTTCAATGGCTTAGGGATCAGGACATCCTTGGGTTGCACCTGCATGGGTGAGAAGGCAGGGGTGAGGAGTGGGTGAGCAGGTCCCATCTCAACTGTGCCTGAGGAGGCCCCCAACAGCCTCACCCACCTGGGCTCTTCCTGTGGTCAGGGTGACCTGGTGGCTGTGGTGGGCAGAGTGTCTGGGCCCCTGGGTTTCTTGACTGAACTTCTGTACTGGGTTGACCTCTGCTGGGTCCACATGCCCCTGGCTGATATGATTTCCACGCACCTCCAGCTCCAGCACCCGGCTCTCCAGCCGAAGGACCTGTGGGTCATCAGGGTGAGCAGATGGTATACAAAGGACAGGCCGATACTGAATGTGTGTGCACTCCCAGGCACCACCTGCCCTGGTGTGATCATCTGGCACACCTGGGCTTCTACAGCTGCTCACCTCCCTCTTCAGCTGGAAGACTTCAGCCTCGTGCTGCTCCTGCAGGCGATGCGTTGCAATCTGAAGGTCGACCAGCTCCTTGGAGATCTATGTATGGCCAGGATAAGAGTGCTGCCTGTGAGACCCTGCTGCCCCTGCTTCTGCCAATACTTTGGGGTCCCATCCCCACCTGTAGCCGCTGTTCCTCGCTCATCTCCAGATCTGACGGAAGCTCTCCCTCCAGGCTGGTGGCCCCGGCTGAGGTGCCACAAGAGACTCCTGGCAGCCAGGCTTCTGCTTGCGGCACAGCCTAGGGAGGCACCATTGACCTCATGCCCAGGTGGGTTTCAGGTCGGGGCTGTGGCCCCTGCACTGATAGGGTCATCTGACATGTCAACCCTGCTGAGCTGGGGCAGCCCTTCCCTGGCCAGGACCAGACCCAGGGTGCAGGGTCCCCCACCCTGGCCTCTGAGGGAGATGAAGGACCCAACTCATGTCAGGGTGGTGGCCACAGCTGCAGCAGTGTCCTAGGAGGACTCACATTCTCCAAGGCTCGAGGAGGGGCCCTCTGCTTGGGCCCTGGGGCTGCCATCCACTCCATAGGCAGCAGGAATTCCAGCCTGCTGCACCTGGCCCCCTGACCTGCTCTAGGATGGCTGCCTGGTGGCTGTTGCTCCACAGAGTGTCAGCGTTGCCAAGGCCTCTGTTGGTCTTGGAGATGCCAGAGTTACGCCCACAGGGCAAGGCAGCTTGGCAGTTGGGAGGAAGGACTGGGGAACCTGGTTCCTTACAATTATGGCGTCGGCTCCTTTCTAGGCCATTTCCTCATTTGGGAAATGCAGACCAACACCCAGGGCATTCACCTGGATCCGGTATATGGAAATTAAAAATGCAGTTGCTGGTACTGCTGTGCTTACGAGGAATGTCCTATCCTACCGTGTGGATTCTACAGTTTATTTTTTAAAAATATCTTTAACTAATTAATTTTTATGTGGTGCTGAGGATCGAACCCACCCAGGGCTCCTTAACCACTGAGCTACATCCTCAACCCTTTTAAAATATTTTATTTAGATACAGTTGCTGAGGCTGACTTTGAACCCCCAAACCTCCTGCCTCAACCTCCTGAGGCGCTGGGATTACAGACACTGGCCACTGCACCTGGTTCGTGCACTTTTCTTTTTTTTTTTAGTACCGGGGATTGAATTCAGGGGCACTTGACCACTGAGCCACATCCGGGTTTCACTGAGTTGCTTAGCGCCTCATTTTTGCTGAGGCTGGCTTTGAACTCGTGAGTTCTCCTGCCTCAACCTCCTGAGCAGCTGGGATTACAGATGTGCACCACCGCGTCTGGCTAGTGCTTCGTACACTCTTCAGATAGATGCCTTCGGTGTACCTCCAGGTGCTGGCCGAAACTTGGGATAGGCTGGTAAATAAGCTATACAGCCCTCCCCACCCCTAGCCTGAGAGGAAGGGTGCGGACATTCCAATACTGGTAGCAATCTCGGAAAGCTTGCACAGGGAAGGTTTCAATGAGCAGGCGGCTTGTGTCCGGAACCAGGTCAAGGCGTATGCGCCACGCTCCACTGCGCATGCGCGTTCCCTCCAGCCAGCATCAGTCCCTGGCCGGGCAGTGAAGGCCAGCCGCCGGGTAGAAGCTTCCTCTGGGCCTAAGGCCCTGCCTCCCTCGGTCGGTCGAGCGTCCTCCAGGCCATCTGCACAGGTGTCGTGAGAGGTTGTCGGGACCACCTGTCTGGAGTCTGGGGTCCCTCTGTGGCTACAGGGCGGGATGGTGGGAGGAGGCGTGGCCTGCGGACTAGGGGCAGGGCCCGTTGGGAGGCGGGGCTGCGAGCGGAAGGCGGGGCCGCAACGAGGCCGCCCTGAATCTGCACGCGGATCTTCAGGAGTTCCTGAAGCAGGGCTATTTGCACTTTCTGCGCGCGCGCGCGTGTGTCTGTCCGTGTCCCCGTCTTGCCCAGAAGGGCTCAGTAGGCTGTGGGGGCCTTCTTTTGGAGGAGGCTGGGGTGGCTGAGTTCTGCCACCATGAAAGTCAAGGTCATTCCTGTGCTTGAGGATAACTACATGTACCTGGTCATCGAGGAGGACACGCGAGAGGCTGTGGCTGTGGATGTGGCGGTGCCCAAGAGGGTAAGGGACGGTCGGGGGTGGCAGGAACACCATTGAAGGTCTAGGCAGCCTTGAGTGCTACACGCCAAATCCCCCACCCTGGCTGGAGCAGACTGTCCCATCCTCTTCTTCGATCTCTGGTCTCCCGATGATCTTGGGGCTTCCTAAGTTAGGGCTGCCTTGGCACGCGTGTCCTTTATCCAGTGCTTAACTGCCCTTGTATAGCGGGGCGCCCGCTAATTGCATGCAGGATACAGGCCCTCCTCTGCGCTGTCCTAGGTACTGGCGGAGGTGTAGTATGGAGGGAGCAGCTCATCCAGACGTCCAAATCACCATGACTTTATTCCTTTCAGCTGCTGGAGATCGCAGGCCGAGAGGGAGTGTCTTTGACCACGGTGCTAACCACCCACCACCACTGGTGAGTGCAGGTGGGGCGTATGGAGGCTTGAAGACGCCTTTCCCTGACCAGAGGTAACTGCTTCCTCCGCTGCGGGTCCACAGGGACCACGCTCGGGGCAACGTGGAGCTGGCGCGGCTACAACCGGGGATGGTGGTGATGGGCGGGGACGAACGCATCTGTGGGCTGACCCGCATGCTGGTACATGAGGAGGAACTACGGGTGAGTACTGAGTACGCACATGGGAAATGCGGGAAGGGACGACCCATCCCCTACCCACCCTCACAGGTCCGCTTGCCCCTCTGCAGTTTGGTGCCATCCATGTGCGTTGCCTCCTGACGCCTGGCCATACCTCTGGCCACATGAGCTACTTCCTTTGGGAGGACGAAAGCCTGGACCCACCTGCCCTCTTCTCAGGTACCCACAGCCCAGAGGTCACCCCGTCATCTTCTCTGACCAGACTTCCCATCTCCTCTTACCTACCCTCCTCCCACAGGGGATGCACTGTCCGTGGCTGGCTGTGGCTGGCACTTGGAAGGCACTGCCCAGCAGATGTACCAGAGTCTGACAGAGATGCTTGGCACCCTGCCCCCACAGACGGTGCGTGGGGTCCAGACCCTGCTTAGTGTGCTATGCTTCCTCTGGGAACCCTCATGCCCTGTCCGGGTCCAGACGGTGGGCCCAGGACCAGGTCCTGAGCGCCTCCCACCTCTGCCTGCAGTAGCGCTCTGCACATTGAATGCCCTTTCTCCAGAAGGTGTTCTGTGGCCATGAGCACACACTGCACAACCTGGAGTTTGCACACACAGTGGAGCCCCACAATGACCACGTGAGAGCCAAACTGTCTTGGGCCCAGGTAGGCCACTTCTTGCCCCTTAATGGGAGGAATGTGCAGTGGGGAGAGCACGTGCTCTCTTTTAAGTTTGGCTGCAGGAGAATCCCCAGGGTCAGCATGATTAGCCTTGGTGGCCACTGCTGGCTTTGCATGGGATATGTGGCCCTGTGGCCACAGCCAAGCAGGCTGGGACTGTCAGGAACTAAGCCTGGTTATGACAAGGGCCTATGGTCGCTGCAGAAAAGAGATGAGGACGATGTGCCCACTGTGCCATCCACCCTGGGCGAGGAGCTGCTGTACAATCCCTTCCTGAGGGTGGCGTGAGTATGGCCATGTCTGGGGCCTCCCCATGGGTGGGGCTTGAGCTACAGTCATCAAGGCAGCCTGGGAGGCATCTCCCTGTGGAACAAGCTGGCAATGCCAGCCTGCCTTCCCTGGGACCTCCTTGGCAGCCATTTGGTTAGTTAAGGTGTCTGGGGGCCATTAGTTGGGCTGAGTGTCCCTGGCACCAGGAGAGGCCCACATTAAGTATCGTCCTGTCATCCATCCAGTGCCCTGTCCCTTCCCACCCCCATGGGTAGCCTAGTGTCCAGCCATTCCCCACTGTGCCCCTCCCCTACAGAGAAGAGGCGGTACGCAAGTTCACAGGCAAAGTGGCCCCAGCCGAGGTCCTGGAGGTGCTGTGCAGGGAGCGGGCTTGCTTCCAGCAGGCTGTGGAGCCACCACAGCCACAGCCCCAGGCACTCCTCGCACTGCAGTGGGGGCTCTTGGGCCACCAGAAGTGAGCCACCCAGGGCCCACTCAACTCCATGTTGCTCCTCCCACGACTCTCAGTCTGCCTGGACCCACACAAGGGTGGCCTCTGTGGACCTGCCTGGCTGTATGCCCAGCCTTTGAGGATCAGCAAGTGGTACTCTCCTCCACTGCTCCTGGAGGTAGACCTGCAGGACCTCTGTGCAGCCACACACCTGTCTGTGCCTGAGCAGTCCTGCCTGGGTTCTGCTCAGTGAATAAATCTCTGAGAGGCCCTTTGGGGCACCGACGCTCCAAGACAGCAGTGATTCCAGACGTGCTGGGCATGTCCTTTATCAGAGGTGAAACTGGGTCAGAGACGGGCCTGGCAGGAACCCAGCCATGGTGACATGATGGCCAGGGAAGACTTGTGCAGGGATGCAGCCTAAGATACAGAGCTGACCTTAGGCCCACAACTTTGTAACCCTAGTTTCAGGAGTCCAGATGTCCTTTCCTGAAGCAGTCCCCATACTTGACACTACTAGTCATCACCTGCCCCCTGCCCTGTGGCTTCCAGGTGATTCCAGACTTCAGGGATAGCACCTGCAGAAACTCCGGAGCCCCTCACTATAGAGCCACCATGGCCAGGAAAGGCAATGTCCACAGAAGGGCCAGTGGAAGAGAGTCCCAAACCTCAGAGAACCTTCAGCCTTGTACCTGCAAAGCCAGTACAGAGCCCGGGGTGTGCAGGCACAGGTCACATTTCCAGACCACGAAATTCTGTGTGTATCTGGAACCCACTTTAACATGGGCTCTAACACACTGTGCAGCTCCTTTTGGTTCTGGGAGAGCCCTGGGGTCTGAGGTGAGAGGCTGTGCTGCTGGGCACTGGCCCCAGCAAACCTCGAGGCCTCCTACCACCTGATGCTCAGGCCCGAGCTGGGCTTCTCTATGGCATGGTACTGGGTGTGCAGCAGGCGGCTGGCCCGCTCTGAGCTCTCACCCTGCAGCCACTGCTGGTACAGCTCCTGGACCCCAGGCACATCCTCAGGTGTCTCCATCCTGACCATGCTATACAGGCTCTCCACCTGCTGGAGAAGGTCTTTGCTGGGTATGTCCAGGGCCTTGAGTTGGCCTCCACCATTCAGGCATCCTGTGCAGAGCAGGTTATGGTCACAAGAGCGTCAGGTGGGGTCAAAGTGCACACCCTCTCCCCACTCACCTCCTCCAGTGCTAGAGGGGTGCTGCCAACTTTATCCCAGCAGCCCCCACCCCTGCCATCTCCTGCCGGGAGGTGCACCTGAGGGACAGGCCATGACCTCCACGTAATGGTAGGGGCAGCGGCCTCGCTTGATCTTCTGCACCAGGTTCTGGATGTTGCGGAAGCCATAGGCAGTGGCAAAGTGCAGTAGCACCTGGCCCTCCCTCTCCAGGGTCACCTCCTGGAAGTCCCTGTTCCTGAGGATGGGAGAGACTATATGCACCACCAACACCAGGCTCCTGTACCTACACAGGGGCCCTGCTGGGATAGGGGAACTCAGCACTTCCACCCCCCTGCTCCTGGGCAGGGGAGGGATGGTAGAACGAGTGGAGTGCTCCCTCCAACCAGAGGTCCAACAGGTGACCTTAACCTCTCCCAGGTCTGTCTCCTCACCTGTGAAATGCGAGTCCCCTTTCCTAAGGCTGGTCTTGAGGCATGGCAAGGGAGGACCTAGCCTTGCCCTCCCTCCCAGATGCAGGTGTCACTGGTATCCACCTGTCCTGAGCACAGCGGCCTCGGGCTCAGGATCTTTGCTAAGGGGGAAACTGAGGCCCCCACTTGTGCCCAGTGCTCCAGGGTCTACCACCAAGCCCACTAAGAGGACCCAGGGCTGGGGAGGCACCAGTCTAGGAGCTTTATGGCTGTCCTGTCCTGGTGCCCCAGGCCACCCCACTGACCT